GTAACCTGTAAAATCCATAGATTTAGGAGGTCTTCTAGTGGCCGTTAGCTGTAAAAATCCATAGATTAGCCGCACCGTTATATAAGCCGCAGGGTCGAAAAATGGGAAAAAAGGCGCGGCTTATAGTCCGAAAATTACGGTAGTTTTGTCAGTGGTTATCAATCATTCACCCTTTCCATTACCACAGAGTACACAAACAAATATACATCGAGTGTACAAAACATTATGCTCTTTCCATGACATAAGACTGACCAGGTGAATCGAGATGAAAGCTATGATCCCTTATTAATGTCACTTGTTAAATCCACTTCAATCAGTACAGATGAAGGGGAGGCGACAGGTTAAAGAAGGATTTTTAAGCCTTGAGACAGTTGAGACATGGATTGTGTGTGTCATTCAAAGGGTGAATGGGCAAGACAAAATAATTGTGCCTTTAAACGGGGTATGATAGTAGGTGCCAGGCGCACTGGTTTGAGTGTGTCAAGAACTGCAATGTTGCTGGGTTTTTCAAGCTCAACAGTTTCCCGTGTGTATCAACAATGGTCCACCACCCAAAGGACATCCAATCAACTCGACACAACTGTGGGAAGCATTGGAGTCTACATGGGCCAGCATCCATGTGGAACGCTTTCGACACCTTGTAGTCCATGCCCCGACAAATTGAGGCTGTTCTGAGGGCAAAAGGGGGTGCAACTCAATACTAGGAAGGTGTCCTTAATGTTTGTACACTCAGTGTACATAATAATATATATCATCTGTTTATACAGTGGGGAAAAAAAGTATTTAGTCAGCCACTAATTGTGCAAGTTCTCCCACTTAAAAAGATGAGAGAGGCCTGTAATTTTCATCATAGGTACACGTCAACTATGACAGACAAATTGAGAGAAAAAAATCCAGAAAATCACATTGTAGGATTTTTAATGAATTTATTTGCAAATTATGGTGGAAAATAAGTATTTGGTCACCTCCAAACAAGCAAGATTTCTGGCTCTCACAGACCTGTAACTTCTTCTTTAAGAGGCTCCTCTGTCCTCCACTCGTTACCTGTATTAATGGCACCTGTTTGAACTTGTTATCAGTATAAAAGACACCTGTCCACAACCTCAAACAGTCACACTCCAAACTCCACTATGGCCAAGACCAAAGAGCTGTCAAAGGAAACCAGAAACAAAAGTGTAGACCTGCACCAGGCTGGGAAGACTGAATCTGCAATAGGTAAGCAGCTTGGTTTGAAGAAATCAACTGTGGGAGCAATTATTAGGAAATGGAAGACATACAAGACCACTGATAATCTCCCTCGATCTGGGGCTCCACGCAAGATCTCACCCCGTGGGGTCAAAATGATCACAAGAACGGTGAGCAAAAATCCCAGAACCATACGGGGGGACCTAGTGAATGACCTGCAGAGAGCTGGGACCAAAGTAACAAAGCCTACCATCAGTAACACACTACGCAGCCAGGGACTCAAATCCTGCAGTGCCAGACGTGTCCCCCTGCTTAAGCCAGTACATGTCCAGGCCCGTCTGAAGTTTGCTAGAGTGCATTTGGATGATCCAGAAGAGGATTGGGAGAATGTCATATGGTCAGATGAAACCAAAATATAACTTTTTGGTAAAAACTCAACTCGTTGTGTTTGGAGGACAAAGAATGCTGAGTTGCATCCAAAGAACACCATACCTACTGTGAAGCATTGGGGTGAAAACATCATGCTTTGGGGCTGTTTTTCTGCAAAGGGACCAGGACGACTGATCCGTGTAAAGGAAAGAATGAGATCGTGAGATTTTGAGTGAAAACCTCCTTCCATCAGCAAGGGCATTGAAGATGAAACGTGGCTGGGTCTTTCAGCATGACAATGATCCCAAACACACCGCCCGGGCAACGAAGGAGTGGCTTCATAAGAAGCATTTCAAGGTCCTGGAGTGGCCTAGCCAGTCTCCAGATCTCAACCCCATAGAAAATCTTTGGAGGGAGTTGAAAGTCCATGTTGCCCAGCGACAGCCCCAAAACATCACTGCTCTAGAGATCTGCATGGAGGAATGGGCCAAAATACCAGCAACAGTGTGTGAAAACCTTGTGAAGACTTACAGAAAACGTTTGACCTGTGTCATTGCCAACAAAGGGTATATAACAATGTATTGAGAAACTTTTGTTATTGACCAAATACTTATTTTCCACCATAATTTGCAAATAAATTCATTAAAAATCCTACAATGTGATTTTCTGGAAATGTTTTTCTCATTTTGTCTGTCATAGTTGACGTGTACCTATGATGAAAATTACAGGCCTCTCTCATCTTTTTAAGTGGGAGAACTTGCATAATTGGTGGCTGACTAAATACTTTTTTCCCCCACTGTAAGTCGATGTTGGTTATGAGCCAGATGTATGGGTAGATCTCTAGACTGGTATTTTTCAGAAGGCCTCAGACGTTTCAGTCAGGTGTTGGTGTAGCTAGAGACGACCCTGCTACTGTAACACACAGTTGAATTGGAAAGTTTCGTCCCTAAAGTCACAACCGAGACTTTAGACTTCAGTCAATCATTTACCATAGAAGGGATGATTGTTTTCAAAAACAAGCAATTTCAAGGCCAATAGATTTTAGGTACAGTTTGACTGTGTTACTACCAGTATTATGTTTACTCAGATAGTTTTAACAAACAGTTTCACTGTGTCTGTGGTAAATTATATCTAAAAATATATATATGTACTGTATATACAGTGGCTTGCGAAAGTATTCACCCCCCTTGGCATTTTACCTATTTTGTTGCCTTACAACCTAGAATTAAAATGGATTTTTTGGGGGGGGTTGTACCATTTGATTTACACAACATGTCTACCACTTTGAAGATGCAAAATAGTTTTTATTGTGAAACAAATAAGAAACAAGACAAAAAATAGAAAACTTGAGCATGCATAACTATTCACCCCCCCAAAGTCAATACTTTGTAGAGCCACCTTTTGCAGCAATTACAGCTGCAAGCCTCTTGGAGTATGTCTCTATAAGCTTGGCACATCTAGCCACTGGTATTTTTGCCCATTCTTCAAGGCAAAACTGCTCCAGCTCCTTCAAGTTGGATGGGTTCCGCTGGTGTACAGCAATCTTTAAGTCATACCACAGATTCTCAATTGGATTGAGGTCTGGGCTTTGACTAGGTCATTCCAAGACATTTAAACGTTTCCCCTTAAACCACTTGAGTGTTGCTTTAGCGGTATGCTTAGGGTCATTGTCCTGCTAGAAGGTGAACCTCCGTCCCAGTCTCAAATCTTTGGAAGACTGAAACAGGTTTCCCTCAAGAATTTCCCTGCATTTAGTGCCATCCATCATTCCTTCAATTCTGACCAGTTTCCCAGTCCCTGCCGATGAAAAACATCCCCACAGCATGATGCTGCCACAACCATGCTTCACTGTGGGGATGGTGTTCTCGGGGTGATGAGAGGTGTTGGGTTTGCGTCAGACATAGCGTTTTCCTTGATGGCCAAAAAGCTCAATTTTAGTCTCATCTGACTACCTTCTTCCATATGTTTGTGGAGTCTCCCACATGCCTTTTGGCGAACACCAAACGGGTTTGCTTATTTTTTTCTTTAAGCAATGGCTTTCTTTCTGGCCACTCTTCCGTAAAGCCCAGCCCTGTGGAGTGTACGGCTTAAAGTGGTCCTATGGACAGATACTCCAATCTCCGCTGTGGAGCTTTGCAGCTCCTTCAGGGTTATCTTTGGTCTCTTTGTTGCCTCTCTGATTAATGCCCTCCTTGCCTGGTCCGTGAGTTTTGGTGGGCGGCCCTCTCTTGGCAGGTTTGTTGTGGTGCCATATTCTTTCAATTTTTTAATAATGGATTTAATGGTGCTCCGTTGGATGTTCAAAGTTTCTGATCTTTTTTTATAACCCAACCCTGAGCTGTACTTCTCCACAACTTTGTCCCTGACCTGTTTGGAGAGCTCCTTGGTCTTCATGGTGCCGCTTGCTTGGTGGTGCCCCTTGCTTAGTGGTGTTGCAGACTCTGGGGCCTTTCAGAACAGGTGTATATATACTGAGATCATGTGACAGATCATGTGACACTTAGATTGCACAGAGGTGGACTTTATTTAACTAATTATGTGACTTCTGAAGGTAATTGGTTGCACAAGATCTTATTTAGGGGCTTCATAGCAAAGGGGGTGAATACATATGCACACACCACCTTTCCGTTATTTATTTTTTTAGAAATTTCTGAAACAAGTTAATTTTTTCATTTCATTTCACCAATTTGGACTGTTTTGTGTATGCCCATTACATGAAATCCAAATAAAAATCTATTTAAATTACAGGTTGTAATGCAACAAAATAGGAAAAACGCCAAGGGGGGTGAATACTTTTGCAAGGCACTGTATGCAATACAAAACAATCCAATCCTTTCCATTTTATTAAACAAAAATATGAAACGTCAAAAAACTAAATCAACACACGACACAAAACAAAAAACTGTGCAGTCCACAAAATACCAAAATAATAATTTGTAATGTATCAAGTGGATTCTCTAACAAACTAACCTGTGCTATAACTGACCTCTGTATGGACTAATACCCTTTTCACCATACTGAGTTGAGCTGTACTTGCCTGGTTAGTGGTTACCCATCCACCATAGTTGCTGGAAATGTACTAGAAAGGACCACTTGAAAGTCCCCATTGCATCGTTGGGGTCGGCTGGATAGTGTGAATAGGGACTAACTTGGTGTGTTTGAGAGCAGCCCACAGTGCAGGATCGGCTCAGACAGACACAGATAGTGGGTACGTTTCAGGTCATATTTATTGCAGTCAGGCTGCCCCTATTATCAGATCCCACAACGCCTGGAGAAGTATTTTTTAACATGTCAGAAACCACGTTGATATGGTATAGCAATCTTCTGATGCACAGTTCAGGCCCTTCGCTTCCCTAGAAGCTAGAAGGAATAGGTAAAGTCAATCTTCTGAGATGTGCAACGTGACTGCAACAGAGACGACCTGGAACGTGTCCAGTGCCATGTTAACGTGTGCTGTGGTCGGGCGAGTCCATCTCCCTGTCCCCCGAGTAGGAGCCGAGGGCCTCCCAGAGTACCTCGGTCTCCTCACAGTGGTGGTGGCCCATCCAGTGCTCCATCACCTCCTCCTTACTGTCCAGGACCTGACTGCACAGCACACAGTTAAACACCAATCCCTGCCTCAGGACCCCTCTCCCTCCTCGGGCTGAGCGGCCGGTCGGCTCCCCCTCTCCATCTCCATCATTCTCCGGTCCCCCCTGGTGGTGGGAGAGGATATGACGCTTCAGCTTGGAGAAGGAGAAGAACTCTTCATCACAGCTCCCGCACCGGACTAGGTTCCTCTTCTCGTTGAGCTGGCGCCAGTAGTGGGCGGCGTGTTTCACCAGCTCGTCCTCTGCCTCCCGGCCCCCCCGCAGTGACCTTCCCACCCCCCCAGCCCCGTCCCGCAGGCGCACCTGGACCTCCTCTCCGTGCACGTACAGCAGGTGCAGCTTCATGTCAGCGAAGGTGGGGGTGATGGCCTGACAGCGGCTACACTTGATCTGGAGTTCCACAGGGTCCTCTCGCTCCTCCTGGCCCTGCTCGTCCCCCAGGTCTGGAGACATGGCCCTGGAGACACAAACAACATGGAGACAGACATGATGGGAGGAAGAACTGTGGTGTTTTATGAAAAGTGAAGGGCCAGAATGTTCAAACGTCAAGACTCAAGTCCTATGGATGAGATGAGTATACCAGTATTGTTAAGAACGATCATCTGCTGATTATTCCCTATTGGAATTTGGCCTCCAGGTACCCTCTCTAGGGTACCTGGAGGCCAACATAAAGCAGGTCTTAGTAACTGAGATCTGGGCCCTTGAGCCATAACATTGGCCATGGGTGTCCTTAAGCAATTAAGACGTTTCAAATGTATAGTCTATTCAACCCCTAGGTCTCAGCCTTGATTGAATGTTTTGACTCAGGACAGGGAAGGATGAGACAACCAACAGATAAGGAGTATTTAGGTTTGCTCTCCCCGCTGGAGGGGGTGAGACTTTCTGCAAACCTCTTAGAGGAACGTGTCTGTCTTCCCATATGCATATGTCTGTCCATGTCTGTCAACATCTGTTAAACCTTTAAATATAGAAGATGTTCACCTTATTTTTTGCATCTAGCATTTCTCCACACCTTGACTGGTTTTCAATTTCTAAAAGGTATGTAGGTTTATAATGCTGAATATTTAAGTACTCACCCCTCCACAGGCACATCATCTTCATGCTGGCTGATGGACGGCTCCACGGTCAGGATGACCTTATGCACCTCCCTCAAATGGCTGAAGTACACTCCCACGTAGCCAAATGCCTTCTCACAGAACTCACAGCGAAGCGTCCGCCGTGGTCTCCCGTCAGAGTGGTGCAGCTTCATGTGGGTGCTCAGGGAGCCAGAGTGGGCATAGGCCTTACGACACACAGGACACAAGTAAGGCCTGCTGTTTGTGTGGCTGTTCATATGGCTCTGGAGGTGGTGTTTGAACTGGAAGCAGCGGCTGCAGGTAGGGCAGCGATGGAGGGGCTGGCTACTGCCCAGGTAGACCCTCTGAGAAGGGCCCCCTTTCAGGTATAGCGGGGTAGAGGCTGGCTGGGGCTGGGGAGGACCAGGCTCCAGGACCTCGGCAGAGAGCTGATGACCCACGAGGAGCTCTGGATCCAGGCTGTCAGAGGAGGTGAGGGAGGGCAGGCTGACCAGCTGGGGTACAGTCTCCATCAGCAGCATGTGGTGAGGTTTGGGTCTGATGCTGCGGTACTTCTTAGAGATGTCCACCTCCCTCTGCTGTTTATACAGTGGGGAGGAGATGATGGCTGAGGGAGAAGGCTTCTCTGGCACCCTCCTCCGAAAGAACGACAACGACCTCTTCTTCCTCGCCTCGAAGGCCAGAATGTCCTCCATTGTCTTCCTCTTCCTCCCCCTCTTCTTGCCCGGTGGTTTCTGGATCTGTAGCATTCCCAGCAGCGACAGGGTGCCTGTGGTCTTGGCCTGAGCCTGGTTCTGCAGCAGGGAGTTTGGCATGTGGTTCTGACATAGGGCCTCAGCAGTCTCCGGGGTCTTGGACTGGGGATCAGAGGGATAAGGGGAGAGGCCGGGCTGGCTAGGGAAAGCCTTCTTGGGGGACATGGCGTTGAGGTTGAGTTTGGCGGCGGGTATGAGGGTGCTTTTCATCTTGGAGTAGGGCAGGATGGGCAGCTTGCCCTTGGGTGGGGAGGGGATGATCTGGACAGCTTTGCTGAAGATGGCTGGAGAGAGGACGGTGATGCTGCTACTAGCTGGCTGTGGATGGGGCTGGGGCTGTTGGGCCGTAGGTTTGGGTTGGCACGGCCTGATAGCAACCTTACCGCTGCTCTCCTCCTGTGATGGTTTGACTGGGGAGCTTTTAGTAACGCCACCAGATGGGTAGTGGAGGTTCTGCAGCATGCTGGTGACAGGGCCGGGGGCGTGGGCAGGAGTGGACCGGTGGTCGGTGGTGGTGTCCACCACTGCTATTCGCTCCAGCGGAGAGCCAGAGTAGAGCACGGCGTTGTCTGGGAGCAGGGCTGTGAGGGCTGAGATCTCAGAGGAGGCTGAAGAGTCGATCAGTATGACCTGTTCTGATGGCTCCTCCTTGGGCTCAGGCAATGACAACTTCTTCTTTACTGCTGCTATTGACCGTTGTTCCCAGGATGTCATGGCAACCTTGGTGGGTGTCTTCACCCCCCTGGCGTTGCCAGCGGTGGGCGTGACTGATTTGACCTTCTCCGGGGTGTTCTTGGTCCTCACTGGCTGGTACCTGGGGATGGGCAGCTTCAGGTTCTTCTGGATTGGCTGTTGCTGCTGCTGTTGTTGCTGCTGTGGCGACTGAGGGGATACGGAGGGCGGTAGGGCCACCAGAGAGAAGGTACCCTCCTGCCCTGCCACCTGCATCAGGGCATAGTTCTGGGCCGGGACCAGGATAGACTTGGAGCTGACGGCTGTGGAGGCTGCTTCCGGGAGGGCAGAGGGGTGCTGGCAGGACAGGACGGCGGCCGGGGAGGGAACCAACGCTGCTGGGGCCTTGGGGGCGATGCTTCTGAACTGGAGGCTCTTCATCATCTGGCCTGGTATGGAGGTCTAGACCCAGACCTGTCTCAGTCTATCAATACAACAACAACAGTCAAGTTAGAGAAGTATTCCGCAACATAACATTGTAGCATTTTTGGTCACAGACCCTAATGATTGCATGCCATCATCTGGCAAGGAGGTCTACATTTGTCTGTAAAAACAACAATACTGGTAGAGATAACCCTCCCCCCGTCACCAACGTAACATCCTTGTATATTTTTGGTTCCAGTCCCCAGTGATTATGTTCTCAGCAGGAGGGTTGACCTTAGTGTTCTTAATGGTGTCGTTACACAGCGGTTCATAGTCTGAGATGAGACACAGGTTGCATCCCAAATGGCACCCTATTCCCTACATAGTGCACTACTTTTGACCTTATCTATGGGACCTGGTCAAAAGTAGTGCGCCATATAGGGAATAGGGTGCCACTTGGGATACATCCTGAGATGAGAGACAGACAGAGGTAGACAGACGTTGTCACTTACACAAACATGTCTAAGGCTTCCACAAGAAAACTATTATCCTGTGGTTCCTCCTGCACTCACACGGAACCCCCTCCCCACACACACACACACACACACTGAACCTCCCCCCACAAACACACACAAACTACCCCCAGGAACAGACAGAGTGCCCCCTTTGATTTGGGCCCAGCGTGCAGCCTGGTTACCGTTGTGGCTCGGCGGGGTGCTCCCTGTACCCCCCACCACCCTCCCTGTACCCCCTTCCTCCCCCCTGTACCCCATGTACTTCCTGGAAAGATTGGTCAGTAGAGCGTGAAAGCTGCCCTAGGGCAAGACAGACAGGAGCTTTACCACCACATTAAGGGTTACTCTCTCTGTCTGTGTGTCTGTGCGTGTGTGTGTGTGTGAGTTACCTCTGTGTGTGTGTGTGTGTGTGTGTGTGTGTGTGTGTGTGTGTGTGTGTGTGTGTGTGTGTGTGTGTGTGTGTGAGTGTGTGTGTGTGAGTGAGTGAGGGTTACCTCAGGGTGTGTGTGTGTGAGGGTTACCTCTGATATTCACTCCTTATCCTCTCCTGACCAGCATTAGTAAAGTCTGGCTGTGGGGCTAAAACAGCCTTACTGACAAAGCCCCCCATTCTCAGACCCTAATGCCCCATACTGAGTAATGATATTTCACAGTACAACACCAGGGATTATGCTTTTAAAGTAGCCTTGTAACTCTGGATGTCGAAGATAAAAATCCCAAGAAAGGGTTGAACAAGCTTTAAGTGGCGTCCAGGTAAAAGGTGAAGAACGGACATGAACTTTATCTGAGCTTTTTGACATCTGTACCGTTCCATTTCAACTCTGTGTAAAGTGTATCTTGTAAAAACGAAATAAACATTCAAGCCTAAAAAAACACTTCAATATAACAAATATCCACATACCTGCTTAAAAAGAAAGATTACAGTGGAATGTTTCAAATGGACGTGATTGTCAACAGCTGATTTTGACAGGAGTTGAATTTCATTTTTTTTTATACAACTTTCAATACCAATACCAGTCTTATCGTGGGCTTCTGTCCAAGTTCTGTGCATGATACCAGCCACATTCAGAATAACCTCCAGGCTCTCTATAAAAAAATAAAAAATAAAAATAAAAGGCTACATTTCACTGTATCATTTCTCTCACGTAACCTACACCCAACCACTCTATCGACTTTCAAAGGACTTGGGCGGAACCAAAGGTTGCATTCATTTCAAAAGAGGGAAACACAAAAAAAAGAGCCAAAAGCACATCGTTCAACACCTGGAAGTATTTCTGAGTGAGAGCAGAATATATTGTCCACACATCTTAACTCCATGCAACTGAAAGTATTCCCTCTCTGTGTGGATAGTCGATTCCAATTCAACTGTGAGTTTGGCTGTTTGGCCGGGCGTTCAGTAGAGTAGAGCGGTGGGATACCAAGAATGCTCCCAGGACATGAAGGGGGTATAAATGGTGTCTGTGTGTGTGTGTGTGTGTGTGTGTGTGTTCATGTGAGAGTGATTTTGGCAGTGGAAGGCTACCCAGGAGGTTCCTCCCATCAACTCTGAGTTTACAGTTGAACCCCAAGAGGAGAAAGGGAGTGAATAAAGGGAGGGAGTGAATAAAGGGAGGGAGTGAATAAAGGGAGGGAGTGTATAAAGGGAGGGAGTGTATAAAGGGAGGGAGTGTATAAAGGGGCGCACGATATGGACTGTACACCCCTCCTCACCCCTTTACTCTCCCCATTCCCTCTCCCTCGGTTTGGCACAAAGCAAAGATGTCTGTTGACACCAAGCCTACCCCCCACAGAAAGGAGAATTGGGCCTCACACCTTCCCTCCCGAACACTCCTCATAGAACTATGAAAGCTATGCTGCTGAGACGAAGCCAAGCAACCAACCAACCACAGGCAGCGTGTGGGCCTGCTGTCTGCTTAAATCAGACTGATGACTTCTCACGGGAAAGACTGGGTCGCAAGACTGAGTGAGAACAAAGACAATGATGAGATGGAATGGAGAATGAGAGAAAAATGAGTAGACACTGTAACTGTCCAGTGTTCTGAGTTGATCATAATTGATAGCAGTGTTACACCACTGCAGCTGTTGTGTTATAACTGAGGAGGAGGCCACCCGAGTGGCGCAGTGGTCTAAGTCACTGCATTGCAGTGTTGAGGCATCACTACAGCCTGGGGTTTGATCCCAGGCTGTGTCACAGCCGGCCGTGACCGGGGGTCCCATAGGGCGGCGCACAATTGGCTCAGTGTCGTCCGGGTTAGGGGAGGGTTTGGCCGGGAGGCTTTCCTTGGGTCATCGCGCTCTAGCGACTCCGTGTGGTGGGCCGGGTGCCTGCAAGCTGACTTCATTCGTCAGTTGAACAGTGTTTCCTCCGACATATTGGTGTGGCTGGCTTCCGGGTTAAGTGAGCAGGTGTTAAGAAGCAGCGCGGTCATATTTCGGAGGACGCATGACTCGACCTTTGCCTCCCCCGAGCCTGTTGGGGAGTTGCAGCGATGACACAAGATCGTAACTACCAATTGGATATCACAGATTTGGGGAGAAAAAGTGGGTAAAATAACAAAAAATGACTGAGGAGGAGTAGCTGCAGCTATGCTCCTAGAGTGCGTCCCAAATGACACCCTATTCCCTAATTGACCTGAGTCTTATCGACCAAGGGGCCAGGGTTCCGGTCTAGAAGCACGGTTCTTGCTTCAGTACTGCAGTTGAATTGATGTCCGGCCCAGAAAGACAATTTCCATAGACAGCCACATAGAGAAGTCAGATTAGAAAATTCCTAATAAGACACTTTAGTCATCACCATTGTGCACAAAACATCCATTGAATTATTCAAATAATTGTCGCTGAGGACAATTTTTTTCCATCACTCACAGCCGAAGATATTAACATTTTATATTCATCCAATGTCTGCCATGTTTTTGGATGACGTCGTCGCTGCTCACGCTGCTCCCTGTGCACACTGAGTGCTAGTGCGCATGTGAAGTTGGGCCGTGTAAACTGGATGCAACCCGGATATAGACGGTGTATGCGAACGCGAGTAGATTACGTTGACAACAACGGTCGGACATCTTGGACGCAGTCTCCAGTTCTTTTATCCCTCAGTGCTATGGACCCTTGTCAAAAGTAGTGCACTATATAAGGAATAGGATGCCATTTGAGACACAGCCCTAGTCTCCAGAGGCTGTGTGCGCTGCTTTAGTAAAACCCATCAGATGACCTCCTAGACAAGGCCCAGGGCTGCCACAGGAAGTACACTGGTGGGACAGACAGACAGGAGGACTGGAGTGCTGTTGATGAAGACTATACCCTCAGGCTAGCTACATCCTGTTGTCCAGTCAGTGTGTGTGTGTGTGTGTGTGTGTGTGTGTGTGTGTGTGTGTGTGTGTGTTTAAACCACAAATTCAAAATCAAAATACTAGAACTGCATCTTTCCATCTCTCCCCGCCTTATATTTCATTCTTTGCACCCTACTCCTCACCCCCTCAATAATACCCCCCCCCCCCCCCCACCGCTCTCTTCTGTCCATCATGTACCGCTCCCTCATTTCTTCTCCTCCTCTGCCTTTCTTCAGGCCCCTCCCTCTCCTTCTGTTTCCCACTCTCTCTCGTATAGGGATTCTCCTCTCAGTGTGTGTCCCTATCTGCATAATGAGGATGCCAAAAACCCTCCCTCCCTCCTCCCCACTTCAGCCACATGTCGACCTGCCCTGGGGGGAGGGGCCTCACTGTTGAGGCCCCCCTTTCGCCACATATCGACCTGCCCTGGGGGGGATGGGCCTTACTGTTTAGGCCCCTAGTGTCAATCACGTTTTAGCTACACTTCAGATGATGATGAGAAAGAATGAGAGCGCAAGCAAGATAGACATGAAAATATAGATAGAGAAATACAGAGGAAGAGAGAGACAAAGAGAAAGATAGTGAATAGGTAGTAAACCCCTGTAACAAATGGTCCTTTCTCTCAGTGTATGGTAGGTGGTGTAGTGGTGAATAAGGGGGTATGTATTGTGCATTAGGGGGTGGTGTTATAGTAGGGCCGGCATCCCCAGCACACCTGCGTCGGATGATAATGATATGAGTACAGCATTGAGCAGCAGCAGAGACATACACGGGGTCGGCCCAGAGGCAAGCTGGTGGGGTTAACTGGAGCGAGAGAGCAGGAGGGGAGAAGACGAGGGAGGGGTTTTACCAACATGAATCCCACCCCACAGATTTCTGACTGCTCCTTCCAACCTGGACTCATATCAGATAGCTTCATTGTTATTGTTTCTGCTGTTATTATTGCAGTAGAGAGCATTTTGATTGGCTGAGCACACATACAAGGAGGAGATCAATGTTAATACAGGGCAGGTTAGGGTCATGTGACATGAGTATGAGCAGTGGCTCTTAACATTAAACAAATATGCCAGCAATCCATTTATTTGTATCTGATAATGTGTTTATACTGTTTGAATTAACCTCAATATACTACTTTTGTATTTAATAAGCTTTTTACATCAGCATCATATTCCTTGTCTTTCCCAGTAGACGTCTCTACCCAAGCCTCAAAGGGAACATGAGGTCACAGACGGAGACACTTAATCTGGTGCAAGGCTTCAAAATCTACCAGGGTTCAGGGGTCAGGGGTCAGGGATGGGCTGAGGACAGACGGACAGGGCTTCCCTGGCAGTAAAAGTATATATATATATATATATACACACAGTGAGGGAAAAAAGTATTTGATCCCCTGCTGATTTTGTACATTTGCCCACTGACAAAGAAATGATCAGTCTATCATTTTAATGGTAGGTTTATTTGAACAGTGAGAGACAGAATAACAACAAACAAAAAAAAGAAAAACGCATGTCAAAAATGTTATAAATTGATTTGCATTTTAATGAGGGAAATAAGTATTTGACCCCCTCTCAATCAGAAAGATTCCTGGCTCCCAGGTGTCTTTTATACAGGTAACGAGCTGAGATTAGGAGCACACTCTTAAAGGGAGTGCTCCTAATCTCAGCTTGTTACCTGTATAAAAGACACCTGTCCACAGAAGCAATCAATCAATCAGATTCCAAACTCTCCACCATGGCCAAGACCAAAGAGCTCTCCAAGGATATCAGGGACAAGATTGTAGACCTACACAAGGCTGGAATGGGCTACAAGACCATCGCCAGGCAGCTTGGTGAGAAGGTGACAACAGTTGGTGCGATTATTCGCAAATGGAAGAAACACAAAAGAACTGTAATCTCCCTGGCCTGGGGCTCCATGCAAGATCTCACCTCGTGGAGTTGCAATGATCATGAGAACGGTGAGGAATCAGCCCAGAATGACACGGGAGGATCTTGTCAATGATCTCAAGGCAGCTGGGACCATAGTCACCAAGAAAACAATTGGTAACACACTACGCCGTGAAGGACTGAAATCCTGCAGCGCCCGCAAGGTCCCCCTGTACAACAAAGCACATATACAGGCCCGTCTGAAGTTTGCCAATGAACATCTGAATGATTCAGAGGAGAACTGGGTGAAAGTGTTGTGGTCAGATGAGACCAAAATCGAGCTCTTTGGCATCAACTCAACTCGCCGTGTTTGGAGGAGGAGGAATGCTGCCTATGACCCCAATTACACCATCCCCAACATCAAACATGGAGGTGGAAACATTATGCTTTGGGGGTGTTTTTCTGCTAAGGGGACAGGACAACTTCACCGCATCAAAGGGACGATGGACGGGGCCATGTACCGTCAAATCTTGGGTGAGAACCTCCTTCCCTCAGCCAGGGCATTGAAAATGGGTCGTGGATGGGTATTCCAGCATGACAATGACCCAAAACACACGGCCAAGGCAACAAAGGAGTGGCTCAAGAAGAAGCACATTAAGGTCCTGGAGTGGCCTAGCCAGTCTCCAGACCTTAATCCCATAGAAAATCTGTGGAGGGAGCTGAAGGTTCGAGTTGCCAAATGTCAGCCTCGAAACCTTAATGACTTGGAGAAGAACTGCAAAGAGGAATGGAACAAAATACCTCCTGAGATGTGTGCAAACCTGGTGGGCAACTACAAGAAATGTCTGACCTCTGTGATTGCCAACAAGGGTTTTGCCACCAAGTACTAAGTCATGTTTTGCAGAGGGGTCAAATACTTATTTCCCTCACTGTATGTGATTTTTGACATGCGTTTTTCTGGATTTTTTTGTTGTTATTCTGTCTCTCACTGTTAAAATAAACCTACCATTACAATTATAGACTGATCATGTCTTTGTCAGTGGGCAAACGTACAAAATCAGCAGGGGATCAAATACTTTTTTCCCTCACTGTATGTATATATATATATATATATATATATATATATATATATATATATATATATATATATATATATATATATAGCGAGAGAGAGAGAGAGAGAGAGAGACAGAGACAGACAGAGAGAGAAACAGAGAGACAGACAGACAGAGACAGAAAGAGAGAGAGACCAGGAAACCGTGGCTATGACGTCCGAGCCAGGCCAGACCTTCCCAGGGTTACCCAGATAAGTAGGTAAGGCCGAGAGGTGAAAGGTCAGGCCTGGTGTTTACGTTAACAGCCAGGTCGCCAGGGTTACGGTAGGGCCAGGGCAGTGCTGTAGTCGGACCGGTTCACTTGACGTATCCATCCGCGTGGAATGGAATGTGCTGAAGAGGCCGGATGGATCAGATGGATGGTGGATGGAGAAGGCCCAGCGGTCAATAGGTCATGTAAGCATGGTTGTGCTGCAGCCAGATAGACAGAGGCTGAGTCCTCAATGATCCCCAAATGAGCCCTGGTCAAAAGTAGTGCAATATATAGGGAATAGGGTGTCGTTTGAGACGCAGCCAGACAGAGAGAGCAGCCAGTAGCCCAAACAATACACTGACCGGCCGCTGATCTGGTGTCTCCCTGATTGGTTGACATGTGGGAACATAGGCCTATAATTTGTTGTAATGACAACCCAGTTAAGAACGGGCATATCAAGCACAATGTTGTGGTCTAGGAGCATGCATTTCCACTCTCTCTCTACTGTTTTGGCCCTTGATCGTATTATGGTTTTGGCCCTACTTACTTTGTGCTTGAGGTTGGAGGTTTCAGTCAGAGTGTGGAGTCCAGCCTTCTATCCGGCTCAAGACTGGTCATGGCTCTGTCCCAAGGCAGATATCCTGCATAAACAAGAACAAACAGTACAAGACATTACGGAGAATGAAATGAACTGAATTGTGTTAATTCTATCTTCATCCAATTCCACAAGACAACCGATAAATAGGGGCAGTATGTACTGAGCGTCTCAGAGTAGGAGTGCTGATCTAGGATCAGCTTTTCATTTAGATCACAATGAATAAGATTACATCAACAGTAAGGACCTGATCCTAGATCAGCACTCCTACTCTGATATGCTTGATACATACAGTCCCAGATGGAGCAGTGCTGGTCTTGTCTCAGTCAGTGGAATAAAGAGAGAGGAGGCTTCTCTTAATTCTCTGCTTCTTTTTGTAGTAAAAAATCCATCAAGAAAACCTGGTGCTTCACGCAGAGCTAGAACAAACAGAACTTTCAAACAGCAGGAGGACTGACAGAGAGAGAGCCGTACAGCAGCCACACAAAGAGCTAGGCCTGGTGAGAGACCTGTAATCCCTCCTGTAGGTGAGAGTGCTCATCTGGGGCTGAAAGATAAGAGCTGCATCCCAAGTGCCACCTTATTCCCTATATAGTACACTACTATTGTCTGGTCAAAAGTCGTGCACTATATAGGGAATAGGGTGCCAGTTGGGACGTAAACACAGGCTGGAGGAGGACGGGTGGAGGTGGAGGATGGAGGGGGGTCTGGAATGGAGGGTCAGGGGGACAGGGAAGGGGGGGAACACAACAGCAGCAGCCGGCCCAGGGGAGGCCAGGCCAACCTCCCGCAGGTCTTAGCCCAGATGAAAGCTCTGGATCTCTGCTAGATAAGGGCAGGATGCGGGTGGTCGGGGCCAGCTTCCATAGCCAGCCATGTCCAGCAAGCATGTTCCCAGCCACCCTTCCATAATCACGGTACTCTCCTCTACAACACCTCACATCTAAAGCTCTCTGAGTGCGTGTGATACCAGAACTTCAATTATATTAGGATCTGTGCGGTATTTAGTATGAGTGTGTACACTAGGTATCGGGAATTATCTACAGTAAAACAGATCTGACAGCACATGCCATTTCAGTATCAAAACAGAGAGCTGCATTCTACGTATCCACCAGTGGGAAGGAATCAGATAATTCCATATTTGTTTGTGTCGTGAGTTCACTCAAGATGTCTCTGTGGTCGATTGCTTTTTCTTACATGCATACTAAGCACTAATTTCTCCCGTGGAGGCTAGGGATTCGTCCAGAGGTGGAGGTGTGTCTGTGTGTGTAGAGTAGGATCTCTGCTGTCTCTCTGAGGAGCGCAGGGCGGTCAGGGGGAAAATTAAATCAGTGTTTGCAGAACTACTTGTTTTATCCCAGAGAGGATAGAGGGAGGGAGGAGAGAGGGACAAGGAGGTAGCGACCGCATTGGGAGGAAGAGACAAAGAAAGGAGGGGGTTCTTCAGCTGTAACTCTTACAGCACAGACACAGAGGTGTAGTGTAGTGGGGGAGGACAGAACATACTGAGTGTCCCAAATGGCACCCTATTCCCTATATACAGTACATATACAGGTAACTGCCAAAATAAAGGAAACACCAACATAAAGTGTCTTATTTGATGATTTCTTCTAGACATGGTAGCCAAAATAATGGGCAACTGGGCATTTCTATACATGACCCTACCCATGGGATGGGATGTTAATATCTTAATGAATTCAGGAACCACACCTGTGTGGAAACACCTGCTTTCAATAGAAACTCAGCAAAAAAAGAAATGTCCTCTCACTGTCAACTGCGTATTTTCAGCAAACTTAACATGTGTAAATATTTGTATGAACATAACAAGATTCAACAACTGAGACATAAACTGAACAAGTTCCACAGACATGTGACTAACAGAAATGGAATAATGTGTCCCTGAACAAAGCGGGGGGGGGGGGGGGGGGTCAAAATCAAAAGTAACTGTCAGTATCTGGTGTGGACACCAGCTACATTAAGTACTGCAGTGCATCTCCTCCTCATGGACTGCACCAGATTTGCCAGTTCTTGCTGTGAGATGTTACCCCACTCTTCCACCAAGGCACCTGCAAGCTCCTGGACATTTCTGGGGGGAATGGCCCTAGCCCTCACCCTCCGATCAGACAGGTCCCAGACGTGCTCAATGGGATTGAGATCCGGGCTCTTCGTTGGCCATGGCAGAACACTGACATTCCGGTCTTGCAGGAAATCACGCACAGAACGAGCAGTATGGCTGGTGGCATTGTCATGCTGGAGGGTCATGTCAGGATGAGCCTGCAGGAAGGGTACCACATGAGGGAGGAGGGTGTCTTCCCTGTAACGCACAGCGTTGAGATTGCCTGCAATGACAACAAGATCAGTCCGATGATGCTGTGACACACCGCCCCAGACCATGACAGACCCTCCATCTCCAAATCGATCCCGCTCCAGAGTACAGGCCTCGATGTAACGCTCATTCCTTTGACGATAAACGCGAATCCGACCATCACCCCTGGTGAGACAAAACCGCGACTCGTCAGTGAAGAGCACTTTTTGCCAGTCCTGTCTGGTGAGGACCTGCCTTACAACAGGCCTACAAGCCCTCAGTCCAGCCTCTTTCAGCCTATTGCGGACAGTCTGAGCACTGATGGAGGGATTGTGCGTTCCTGGTGTAACTCAGGCAGTTGTTGTTGCCAGCCTGTACCTGTCCCGCAGGTGTGATGTTCGGATGTACCGATCCTGTGCAGGTGTTGTTACACGTGGTCTGCCACTGCGAGGATGATCAGCTGTCCGTCCTGTCTCCCTGTAGCGCTGTCTTAGGCGTCTCACAGTACGGACATTGCAATTTATTGCCCTGGCCACATCTGCAGTCCTCATGCCTCCTTGCAGCAAGCCTAAGGCACGTTCACGCAGATGAGCAGGGACCCTGGGCATCTTTCTTGTGGTGTTTTTCAGAGTCAGTAGAAAGGCCTCTTTAGTGTCCTAAGTTTTCATAACTGTGACTTTAATTGCCTACCATCTGTAAGCTGTTAGTGTCTTAACGACCGTTCCACAGGTGCATGTTCATTAATTGTTTATGGTTCATTGAACAAGCATGGGAAACCGTGTTTAAACCCTTTACAATGAAGATCTGTGAAGTTATTTTGATTTTTACTAATTATCTTTGAAAGACAGGGTCCTGAAAAAGGGACGTTTCTTTTTTTGCTGAGTTTACTTTGTATCAAAGGTAGTGCACTACATATGAAATAGGGTCCCATTTGGGACGTAGCCCATGGTATTCAGTGCCATGCAGAGTGGACACACAGGAACAGAAGCACACCACCGTATGTCGTTAGCTGTCACCTGTCCTGAACAGATCAATGAGAGAAATCCATTCCAATTACGATCTAGCCGCTTGGCTCTAAATAGGGATGTGGATCAATCAATATCCATCTCAAAGCAAAAAAAGAGAAGTGTGTGTTTGTTTGAGTATGTTTGTCATCGTTCAGATTTCCCCCAAAAAACCTAGAAAGGATTCCATTCAGCTAATTTGTTAATTAAGCAAAATCTTGCTTAAATGTAGACTCACCGAAATGACATTGCCACGAGAAGCACCGCAGATATTGAGATGAACGAGACGCAAGGAGGACTGTGGCTCTCACACAGCCACACACAGTATCTGCGCATGTGCATGGGTTCACTTCACGCTGTTACAGCATGGTAGCCAGGGGAACAAAACAGCTGAGAAGTTGAGCCTTGCGCTTCAACGCTCTTAGTTGTTGCGGAAATTGACCCACTATGCCGTTTACGTTCTGCATCTACGTCCTATCGCTGAGTCTACCTTTAATTGTTACAGTAGGAAAGACGGGATATTCTGGCTACTTTGTGAAAAAATCAGATCAGTTTAAGCCAATCTCTGTATGTGATTTATTCCAACATTCTCAGGCCAAATATGGTTGTAGACTTCCATAGAGTGATAATTCTGTCGGAAGGAGCCACCGTGGACAGAGCTTTCCTGTGTGGAACAGAGTGGAGGAGAAAGGCAGAATGCTGTAAACCAGCCAATCACCTTTGACCTGGCGTAGCTGTTGACGAGGCTGTGAGGGTGTCATTTCCATAACACTACCAGGGTTCAGTCACAGCTACACACGCTCACACACACACACACACACACACACACGAAGCCGTGTGTGTGCAAGCGAGCGTGCGTGTGTATCCGTGACAGAACCCTGGTAGTGTTATGGAAATGACACCCTCACAGCCTCGTCAACAGCTACGCCAGGTCAAAGGTGATTGGCTGGTTTACAGCATCCTGCCTTTCTCCTCTCCTCTCCTCAACACAGGAAATGAATACCTCTCTGTCCACAGTGGCTCCTTCAGAATGATCACTCTACAGACATATTTGTCCCTATCTGTCACTGGGCCTAGGTGATGTCACTGTCACCTCCAGGTTAGAGGTCAGATAGGAGCGCTTGTAACAGTGTAGTGTTCCTGTCTCAGCTCTCTGGATGTATAGGGCACTATAAAGGAAATAGGGTGCCATTTGGGACACAGCCTTTTGGATGAGACTAACATCCCCAGAGGGTCACGGAGCAGGAAGTGTGTGCTGGTCATCTTACTGTGTTCCACACTAAACCTTTACCTGCCCTTTCATTTCACTGTAGGGCTCTGGTCAAAAGTAGTGTACGAGGGAATAGGGTGCCATTTGGGACGCAGAAGCAGAATAGGTCAAACATAACTAAAGCGTGGTAAGAAGGAAGAGAGGGGGGATGGGGGGGGTTGTGCTGTCAGCAGTGGCGGCTCCTGAAAAAATTCTCAGGGGGGGCAATTTTTCTGATGATTTAGGTGACCTACACACATTTAAAAAAAGATATGTCCAGCAACAACATGAAGACAGGGGCAGCATATAAGTCAATACCAGAAGCATTTATTGACTGATCTGGGGAGATGGATTCCAGTTTCTGTGACAGATTATAAATAATCTCTGATGCCTTTGTTATATTAGCTTTTGGTTGAATGTACACAACGGTAACAAACAATTGGGGGAACTCACGGGGCAGATAGTAAGGTCGCAGTGACACAGAAAGCA